GACTAGCTTATTAAAAATATGACTCCTTTCCTCTGGCTAAAGTCGGCTAGGTGTGGCGCTGCCTCTGGCAGAGTCAAGGACACAATGACTCACTTAGGTTCTTTTCCAATGTCTAATTCAATGAATTGGGTTTTCTTTAGAGCCATGAGTCATTTTCCCTGCTCAGTGACTTGCATGGCAGGGTGGTGAGATAACCAGGAACTCAGGGAGCCAGCTGGTAGGTTTTGTACAAGATTGTTTAAAAAAAAAAAAAGGTAGACTTTCAAAGATCTGGGGGAAAGCCAGAAGTGTGGAAAATGTCATTATTTAAGAATACAGTTTCCAAAACAAGGAAAAACATCTTTCACCTTCTCACATTTCACTCCTGTGTAAGGAGGAAGCCTAACAGCAGCAGCGTGCTTCGCCGCGTCGGAAATACTGCGGGTGCCTCTGCAAACAGCTGCGGCCTTCACTTGCGCCCGCTGATGGCAGCCTGGGTAACCTTCCTCCACTGAGGTTGGAGCAGTTCCCTCCCACTTAGCTACCCTGCATTCCTGGCCTACACTGTAAGACGGATCTTAGAGGAGATGCCATTTTCTTTTTTTTTTTCTTTATCCTCACCCAAGGACATTTTTCCATTTTATTGTTCAGATAGAGTGGGAGGGAGGGGGAGAGAGAGAGAGAGAGAGAAACATCGACGTGAAAGGGACACAACGAGTGGCTGCCACCCACACGACCAACCAGGGTCGGGACAAACTGCAACCGAGGTACGCGCCCTTAGCGGGAACCGAACCCTGGTCTCTCTGGACTGCAGGCCGACGCTCTAACCGCAGAGCCAAACTGGCCAGGGCGAGACGCCATTTTCATCACAGCATCATCCGAAGGTAAATCTGAGCCACGAGTGAGAGAATCGCTTGCATATCTGGGTGTTAATAAATGTATGTCAGGACAGTGGAGGAAACAGATGTTATCTGTTGTTGTCATGTCAAATTTGAGATGAACAGTGAAAAAACTGTTGGTTGTATACAATGGAAACAGTAACATTTTCAAAAGAATGTCCGTCCTGTTTGCATAGGCTGTGCTCTCAGACAGCTTTTTTAAAAAGTCAGTGTTTAATAACTTTCAAAGAAAACGTTTTATGCCTTTTGAATAAGTCCATTAAAAGGGTGTTTGTCTAAAATACACATTTACCACAATCCTTTATGTGTGAGGGCAAAATAACCATATGAAAGACTGACAAGCTTGTTTATCTAATTATGACTATTTATTAGCCTGGCCCTCGGCTAATAATGTTTGGCACCACGAAGGGAAGAAAACAACAAAATGAACTTGTGGCATATTTTAGTTATCTTTTGCTGTGTACCAAACTACCTGAACACTTACTGGCTTAAAGCAGTAGCCATTTTTATTATGCTTTGTGATTTTGTGGGTGGGGAATTTGGGCAGGGCCCAGCTGCTGTTGTTCTGCTCTGTGGCATGGACTGAAGCCACTCGGTGGTGCTCACTGGCAGAGGGGCTGGTCTGGAGGGTCAAAGATGGCTTCACTCCTGAGTCTGGCACCTCAGTGAGGACGGCTGGAGGGCTGGGCTCAGCTGTAGTTGCTCTGTGTGACCCTCCAGCCTGGCTGCTCAGGGCCAACTGTCAGGCTTCCTAGAGCTTATGTTTGGAAGTCACGCAGAGTCATTTTCCCACTCTAGTGTCTGATGCAGTCACAGGCCAACCAGGTTCCAAGGACGTGGAAATAGCTCCCCCCTCAACGGGAGGAGGGCCACAGAAGTTTTGGCCATCTTTATTCCACCATGTGATATAACAGATATATTTTCAGCCAGGCTCTCAGGAATGCTCAGAAATTCTTGGACTTTGCTCAGATTGGATCCTTCAGTGATCCCCCAAAGCAGTTGTTTGAAACCTTTCCACTTCCTTCTCTTCAGCCTAGTACCTCCTGACTAGGAGATGTGTATTCCTACTTTCCTGATGGGACATGGGCCATTAGGTATAAACTCAGTGATGCGGGAAAAGCATGGGCCCTCGAGCCAAAGAACTCACGTTCAGAAGTTACTGTTTACCATCCTCGAGACCTTGACCAAGTTTCTCAACCTCTCTGCCTCAGTTGCCTTGTCTGCAGAAGGGGCTACTAATACCAAAATCAGTGGTTGTGATTGATGAGGTGTGCACAAAAAACGCTGTATACCAGCCTGTGGTTAACACTGAGCCACATTCTGTCCAAATCTGTCTTATCGTGGGTCATTTTCCTGACGCTGACATTTATTTTTTTTAAATTCATTTATTTTTTATTAATTAATTTTTGTTACGGATGTTTCTCCTTTTCCCCCCACTGATTCCCCCCTCCCCCTCCCTCCCTGCCCTGTCCCCAGTTTGTTGTCCATGTCCACTGTTCATGTATACATGCATATAAGTTCTGTGGTTTATCTCTCCCCCATCACCCCCTCTTCTGGGGATCTGACACTGACATTTATTATTACGAATCACTAAAACTCTGAGAATTTTAATTATTTACAGTGTTGAAGAGATGATTAAATAAAATGATGCCCGTGAAACTCTCTGTAGCTGTCAAGTGCATTATAATGATGAGTAACATATGAACAGTATCATCATCATCATAGTTGGCTCATAACTGCTTTGTGTTCTACATGGACAGAAATGATTGCCCATTTCTCTGCCCACTGCTTCTTTTCATGGTACCCCTGATGGAGATACTATGGAATGAGGAGCAGCGAAAAGAAACTTTTCAAGGGTGGGAACAGATGACCAGCTACATCTACAATAATTTATGTAGTCTAAGCATATGTGCAATTCACTATTATAATGTAATAAAACCCAACCAAGTTAATCTGACACATCTAATGATATACATAATCCTTGCTTTTACTTCATGGTAATTAGGCATAAAAAGTAAAATTTCACATAAATAACTGTAATTAGTATTACTTGAATGCCACCAAAGCAAACTTGTAATCTGTTCTATCTTTTTTCCTAGTATCCATAATTAGCAACAATACTAACAGTTTTTCCTGATAACCTGTACAGTTTAGTTCCTTTTTATTCATTCATTCATTCATTCATTCATTCACTCACTCATTCATTCACTCACTTGCTTACTCATTCATCAAATATTTATTGGGTATGCACTGTATGCTTGGTTTGGAGCTAGGTAGATACAGCTGGTAATGGGGAGACAGACAAAGACAAAGGGAGTCACTTCAATACAGCATTAACCCTCCTGCAGTAGAATCTTCAGCATTATAAGAGCATACAAAGGACACATAGTCTAGTTTTGGGGTTCCACTGAGGGCTCCCTGGAAGAGAAGATGAGCCCTAAAAGAATTTAGCTAGGACAAGGGATTTGATGAGGAGGAGAATTGCAAAAGAGAGCACAAAACTGGGCTTAACTATCAAGTGGGTGTGGCCAGGGAGGATTGGGCGGGGCCAGATCAGGATCCTCTCTACTGACCAAGTTAACCTGCGTGATCCTAGGAATGGAAATATTTAGGAGGTAGACTTGGTGACTTGCTGCATGTGGAGCCAGAAAGACATCTACGGTTTTGGAGGCATCTTTTCTGAAACAGGAGGAGGAGCTACTTTGAGGAGGACATTTGTCGTGAACGTGTTGAGTGAATTTGAGTTTTTTTTTTTAATTTATTAATTTATTTTTGTTACAGATGTTTCTCCTTTTTCCCCCTCTGATAACCCCCTCCCAGCCCTGTCCCCAGCTTTGTTGTCCATGTCCATTGTTCATGCATATAAATTCTGTGGTTTATCTCTCCCTCCACCCCTTCTTCTGGGGATTGTCAGTCTGTACCCCACTTCCACATCTCTGGGACTACCCCATTCCTCAGACTGTTATGTTCATTATATTCCACAAATAAGTGAGACCATGTGATACTTGTTTTTCTCTGTTTGGCTTGTTTTGCTTAGGATAATACTTTCCAGGTCCCTCCATGTCATCTCAAAAGATAAGAGATCTTTCTTACAGCTGCATAGTACTCCATTGGAGTTTGAGGGTTTTTTTTATTTTTTATCCTCACCCGAGGTCATTTTTCGATATTTTGTTCAGATAGAGTGGGAGGGAGAGAGAGAGAGAGAAAGAGAGAAACATCGACGTGAAAGGGACACATCAAGTGGTTGCAACCCACAAGATCCAACCAGGGCTGGAGACAAACTGCAACTGAGGTACGTGCCCTTAGTGGGAACCAAACCCTGGTCTCTCCAGACCGCAGGCCAATGCTCTAACCGCTGAGCCAAACAGGCCAGGGTGGAGTTTGAGTTTTTAATGTGATATCCAAAAGGAACTGCCCTGAAGGCAGTTAATACATCCATCTAGGGTTGCATGTCCAGGACAGTAGCCACCAGCCACCTGTTGCTATTTAAAATTAAACCAGTTAAAAGGAAATACAATTTTAAATGCAGTTCTTCAGTCAGACTAGGCACATTTCAAGTGCTCAGTAGCTACATGGAGCTAGTGGATACCATACTGGACAATGCAGATAGAGAACGTTTCCATCATCTCTGTTTTAGGGGTGATGTTCAAATTACCACAAAATGGGTGGCTTAAAGCAACAGAAGTTCCTTCTCTCCCAATTCTGGGGTCTTGAAATCTGAAATTGTGGTGTCAGCAGGGCCCTGCTCTCTCTGGAAGCTCTGAGAAGGAATCCGTTCCGTGACTGTCTCAGCTTCTGGTGTTGCCAGCGGCCGTTGGAGGCCTGCACTGCACAGGCCTGCACTCCATTCTCTGCTTCCCTATGTGTATACCTCCAAATCCTTCTGTCCTTGTTAGACCACCAGCCACCAGAATTCTGGGCCCACCCTCAGCCAATATGGCCTTATCTTAGCTTGATGGCACATGCAAATACCCTATTTCCAAATAGGGTCACAGTCACCTATATCGAGGCTTAAGATTTGAACACATCTTTTCAGGGAACACAATTCAACCCATAACTGCAAAAATTATATCGGGCAGCCCTGCCCTACAGTCTAGAGGACAAAAGAGGGAAATTGAAGCCATGGGAATATATGGGACTGTGCAAGGAGTAGATGGAGAAAGAGAAAGGAAGCGTCTCATTAACATCTATGGGATGGGCAGTGAAGCGAAACTCACAAGGAGACTGAAGGAGAAGGCCAGAGAGGTAGGTGTGCAGTAGGACAGTTAACTATTATTGATTATAGATATTAACACACATTAGTAAGTACTACACATTAATTATGTACATGATATAATGCACATTCATAGTAGTACACAATGATAATAATAGTGAACAGTTACATAGGGATATTTATTATGTGCCAGGCACAGTCTTAAATTCTTTACCCAGATAAATAAAATTAATGTAAGTTTTACTATTGCTCTGTAAGATAGGTAATCTTATTGCTCCCATTTTAGAGTCGATGGAGCTGAAGCACAGAGAGGTTAGCACTTGCCCAAGGCTGCAAAGTTGGTAAGGGATGGTGTCAGGACTCAAGTCCCTGACCATGCATTCGCCTGTTTACCTTATAAGAGGTGGAGGGCTGATCTTTGATGGTGTTCAGGACTCTTCCCTGAGAGAGACCAGAGGAGAAAGGGTGACTGAGCCTGAGCAGAAAAAGGGATTTGAGCTGAAGGAAGGATTGCTGATGGAGGCTGCAGCTCATAGTGCCTCCTTTTCACTGAAGGTGAAATGCACTGGGGGAGAGATGGGGGTAGGGGTGGTGGTGGGGAGCTGAGAGACGTGGTGAAGGCTGGTAGCAGCTGCAGGGAGGGATGGAAAGGAAATCATGTAGTGATTAGGAAAGTGATTGTCAAGAAGCATTCAGAAGCCAGCTGTGAGATGGAAAACATAAATTTGTAGCGCAACCACTCAGCTCCGTTAACATTTTTTTGCCATCAGCATTTAGGCAGTTACAAAGCAGAAAATGCTGTCTTGACCTCAACTCTTCAATCTGCGTATTACTGCCCGAGTCAGTCCTCTGACTCACACTCTGCTTCCCCTTCCTTCTAATAAGTTTGTGCCCAGTTCTCTGCTTCTGCCCTAAATACTTGAGGCAAAATTTAGAATGTGAATTCTTCACTTAGAACTTCATCATCTGGGGAACCCTGGGCAAATGTGGTGGCTCTGGAGAACTGAGAGCCCAGAAAGAATGGCATCGGGGTGCACAGAGTGTGAGGGAAGCAGAACAAGGAAGCCCGTACTAAACCCAATTGTGTCCTTTATCCCAAGTACGGGAAGGCAACCCAAGCAATTACTGTCCAGGGTCAACCTCTGTTAATGTCTCTAGGAACAGCTGAAAGGAGACCCCAAACATGGACTCCGAGGCAGGTTGAGCTAAATCTCTCTTCTTGACCAAAGGAGAGGAATATTACAGGCTTCAAATGGGGTAGAATGCAGAACCTAGAAAGACAGATGGAGGGCTGTGGCCATTGAGGGTCCAGCATGTGCCTAGAGACAAACAGAAGCCATTTTTGGGTCAGTAAGAACATTTTTGTAGATCTTTTTGGGGTTTATATTGTTTTAGACATGCTGCTGATTCAGTCCTGGAGGATAAGCAAAATTTGAGTAGAGGATGAGAAATTTCTGCAAATAAGAGAGGCTCTGCAACCAGAAAGTGACATCTGAGAACTGACCAGGTTGAGGCAAGAGAACTAAGGGAGGTACAGAAACACCCTCAGAAGAACGTGAACCAGGACGATGAAAAATCTGCCTGGGTCAGCACGGAAAATATTTCCTTACCTTCACATTGTTCCTGGTGGGGAAGTCAGAAATTACTAACTCTAGGTTCATTTCCTCCTACTCTATATCATTATCGTTTGGGGTATATAATTATACTTAAGTCAACTATATTGTAAACTACACTTAGTTTTCATCCATGGGGTGAATTCAGTCATTCTTACCAAGGCCATAAGTATTGTTATGGATAATTTTCTGAACTGGGTGGCTCCTCCTAACTATGAAATTCAAGTTTCGAATTCCCAGAATGGGCAAAGCAAGGAAATTTGTTGTCTTGACAGATGCTGCTAGAAGGAAGTAGATTTCATCATGTTAGTATTTACATTCAAGAATGTGTCTAACTAACTTGGCCTTAAGTCACATGAAGCATTTCCTCCTTTCTTTATAGCCTTTTGATATTTATATTTCACATACCATGAAATCTACCCATTTAAGTATTCAGTTCAATGATTTTTAGTATATTTGTGGAGTTGGGCAGCTATTACCACAATCTAATTTTAGAATATTTTCAAAACTCCAGAAAGATACCTCTTCCCATAAGGAGTCATTCTCTGTTCCCTCTCTCTTCCTCCCCAGCCCTAGGTAATCACTAATTGGCTTCTGTCTCTATGGATTTGCCTATTCTAGACATTTTACATAAATGGAATCATATAATCTTTTGTCTTTTGTAAGATTGGCATCTTACACTTAGCATTATGTTTTCAAGGTTCATCCATATTTTAATATATATATCACTTCATTCCTTTTTTAATGCCAAATAATATTCCATTGTGTATATATACACCACACTTTGTTTTCTAGTCATCTTTTGGATGGATAATGTGGTATTTACATATAATCGGATATTATTCAGCAATTGAGGTCATTTCCACATTTGGCTACTATGAATAATGCTGCTATGAACATTTGTGTTCACGTTTTTGTTTGAACAGTTATTTTCATTCTTTTGGGTCCATACTTAAGAGTAGACTAGCTGGGTATGATTAGCATTTTGAGGACCTACCAGACTGTTACCCAAAGTAGCTGCACCATTTTACATTCCCACCATCAATGAATGAGGGTTCTAATTTCTTCACATCCTTACTAACACTTGTTATTATCTGTCTTTTTAAAAAATGTTAGCCAACCTAGTGTGAAGTGTTACCTTATTATCATTTTTATTTGCATTTCATTAATGACTAATGATGTTGAGTTTTCATATGTTTTCTCTCTTTATCATCCTTCCTCTCACACATGTCTTTGGAGAGCCTTCAATTTTCAAAGCATGAGGACAAAATATCATGTTCTCTATGATTTCACAGTCTTGACAATGAGATAAAAAAGGGGCTAAAAGAGAGTCCCAGGCAGAAAGGGGGTTAGAAGTTCAGAACAGTAGTGAGACACACAGGACCAAAAAAGGACCTAAAAAGAATGATGGGCTAAAGCATTGGGGGAGGATATAGATAGACAGAGAATAAAATAATCTCTCTCATTTTATTTCAAATGCAGTACTTTCTGTTTATCTTCAGATGACACTTGGAACCAAAATCTCCATGCCTGGGTCATTAAAAAATAATCTATATTTCTCTCATCACAGAAAATTCCAAGAATTTTAGCAATGAAGTCCAAATACAAGGGTTTCTCACACCCTAGACCATTAAACTCTGCCAAAAGGAGGAAAGAATATTGAGAGGGTGAGTCTTTCATAAAATGGATTGATGTATTATCAAAGTGTAATGTAATCACTATTAACTTTTTGTTGCAGAATAACCAAAACAACAACATAGTGAATGCTAACCTAAGTGGTATTTGATGTTTATAATTGGTCTCAGTGTTCATATGTCATCTTCCAGCCATCACAGTTCTTGCACTTGATCAACCATCTGTGCTTCTCAGAATTTTAAATCACATGGAGTCAAAATATGCACGTTCAAAGTAGCTTGAACATTAACCCTCTTCATTACATTTCATTTTGTGGCACAGCCTTTTAAACACACTGAAATAATTCTGTAGTAAAATGAGAGCCCAGTATGCACATTCCAGTGCCTTCTGCCCGTGAACTTGGGAAATAGGTCTTGCTGCATTTTAAGAGGCATGTGCTTTTTGGTATTAATAAAATTGTTATTGGTGGACACAGAAACTTGTTTCTTAGAAGTAAAACCTTTTTAGAAATTAATTTAATGAAAGCTAGTTTTAAAAAGAGTGATAAGTCACTGAATTTGTATAATGAATCTGAGAATGAAGGACTCTTTATTGAACTCAAACCAGGTCTATACCTTTCCCAGGATTTTGACTCTCACTATTTATAATTTATGTAAAATATGCACAACCACCTTAGCAATATTTTAGAGAGAAAAAATGAATGAACATTTTGAAAAAGTGAAAACTAAAAAGAGCATTGTATGCTTACTCTCTGCAATAAATTTTCCAAATAATGGCTTCACTCAGTAAAAGGTTGTTTTGAGAAATTTTAATGAGGGTTATATGTACTTATGACACAAAAGAATAAAAAGGAAATAAATACAATAAATTAAAAATAAAAAGGAAAAGTGTGTAGCTTGCCTTCTTTCACCACTACCAAGGAAAGAAGTGGTTGAGGTGAAACTAGAATGGAGTTGAGCATGTTAATTATTGCTTGTGTGGCCTGTTTCTCCTTTCAGTTGCTTAAACTTAAAACATCACCTGAATTATTAAGCCTCCCAGAAGCACAAACAAGGTCTTGGTTGCTTAAATTTAAGCTTCTCAAACTTGCCGTAAAGGAAAGGTGGGAGTTAACAAGAGGGAATAATGTTATTGCACCTTTTTCGTGGTTTGGTTGCTTACAGAATTTCTATTAGAACATTTATTTATTTTTATTTTACCAATATCTTTTATTTATTTATTTAAGTGAAAACTTTTAAAAATGTATTTTTTCTTTTTTATTGATTTTAGAGAGAGAAGAAGAGAGAGGGAGAGATAGAAACATTGAGGAGAGAGAACATCGATTGGCCACCTCCCGCATGCCCCCCACTGGGGATTTGGCCCACAACCTGGGCATGTGCCTTGACTGGGAATCGAACCAGAGACCTTTTGGTGCATGGGTCGATGCTCAGTCCACTGAGCCACACCAGCTGGGCTAGTTTTATTTTACTTTTTTCCTAAATTTTATTTATTTATTTTCATTGTTGAAAGTATTACAGGTGTCCCCTTTTTTCCCCCATTGGTCCCTCCTTCCCACTCCCACACCCCCAATATGTCAATTGGTTGTGCATATATGCATAAGTTTTTTGGTTTATCTCTTCCCACCCCCTCCTTCTAAGGTTTATCAGTCTGTTCCCTACTTCCTATGATTCTGGATCTCTTTTGGTCGACAGCTTATTTTGTCCATTATGTTCCACAAATAAGTGAGATCATGTGGTACTTGTCTTTCTCTGACTGGCTTATTTCACTTAGCATAATACTCTTCAGGGAAACTCCTTGTCATCTCAAAGAGTAAGAGATTTCTTTCTTACAGCTGCATTGTATTACATTGTGTAAATGTACCACAGCTTTTTTATCCATTCATTTACTGATGGGCACTTGGGCTGTTTCCAGATCTGAGCAATTGTAAATACCACTGCTATGAACATAGGGGTACAAATATTCTTCCTTATTGGTGTTTCAGGCTTCTTAGAATATATTCCAAGAAGTGGGATCACTGGGTCAAATGGCAGTTCCATTTTTAATTTTTTGAGGAAACATATTGTTTTCCATAGTGGGTGCACCGGTCTGCATTCCCATCAGCAGTGTGCTAGAGTACCTTTTTCTCTACATCCTCGCCAGCATTTGTTGTTTGAAGATTTGATGGCCATCATTCTGGCTAGTATTAGGTGATATCTCATAGTTGTTTTAATTTGCATCTCTCTGATTAGAGATGTTGAGCATTTTTTTTTTTTTTATATATGTCTCCTGGCCATTTGTATATCCTGTTTGGAGAAATGTCTATTCAAGTCCTCTGCCCATTTTTTAATTAGGTTCTTTGTCTTTCTTTTGTTGAGTTGTACAAGTACTCTATATTTTTGGATATTAATCCCGTATCCAATGTATCATTGGCAAACGTGTTCTCCCAGAGAGTGAGTTCCCTTTTCATTCTGATGCTGGTTTCTTTTGCCATGCAGAAGCTTTTTTAGTTTGATGAAGTCCCATTTATTAATTTTTTCTCTTTGTTTCTGTTGCCCAAGGCAATGTGTCACTGAAAATTTCGTATGATGTCTGAGATTTTTCTGCCTACATTTTCTTGTAAGATTTTTATGATTTCACTGGTTACATTTAAGTCTTTTGTCCATTTTAAGTTTATTCTTGTGTATGGTGTCAGTTGGTGGTCTAGTTTCATTCTTTTTCATATAGCTGTCCAATTTTCTGAGCACCATTTATTGAAGAGAATGTTTCTTCTCCATTGTATACTCTTGCCTCCTTTGTTGAACATTAATTGTGTATACTGTTAATACTGGGTTGATGTCTGGG